TGATGCCGAGGCGGCTGTTACACTAGGTCAGCTCCATGGTGGAACCTGTATTTTCTTCCTTGTCCTCCTCTGCAAGATTGCCAGCTTTGATACAGTACCAATGTGGCAGTGGTAAATTAAGATCAGTTATTGTTCATCTATTTTCAGCTGTCATCTTTCATTTTTAAACCCGGTTTTGCTGTGGTCTGAACAGGACATCAGCCATTTTTAACGTTATAGCTTCTTCTGTTTTGTTTTATAGGATCATGGATTTTCCAGGACACTTTGAGCAAATCTTTCAGCAGCTCAACTACCAGAGGCTTCATGGGCAGCTTTGTGACTGTGTCATTGTGGTGGGAAACAGGCATTTCAAAGCCCACCGCTCTGTTCTGGCAGCATGTAGCACACATTTCCGAGCTCTGTTTACTGTAGCAGAAGGAGATCAGACTATGAATATGATTCAGCTGGACAGCGAAGTGGTGACAGCAGAAGCTTTTGCTGCTCTGATAGACATGATGTATACTTCCACACTAATGCTTGGGGAGAGCAATGTTATGGATGTCTTGCTGGCTGCTTCTCACTTACATTTGAACTCTGTTGTTAAAGCATGCAAACACTACCTTACTACCAGGACGCTGCCGATGTCTCCACCAAGTGACAGAATTCAAGAGCAAAATGCGCGCATGCAGAGGTCTTTCATGCTCCAGCAGCTTGGACTGAGCATCGTGAGCTCTGCCTTGAATTCCACTCAGAGTTCAGAGGAACAATCAAAAACTATGAGCTCCTCAATGAGAAGTAACATTGAGCAGCGCACTACTTTTCCTATCCGTCGTCTCCACAAACGTAAACAGTCTTCTGAGGATCGGGCCAGGCAGCGCATCAGGCCTGCCATGGATGAGTCTGTTTCCGATGTGGCTGCAGAGAGCGGGCAGTCAGTGGTTCATTCACGGGAAGATTTCTTCTCACCAGATTCACTGAAGATTGTGGACAACTCTAAGGCTGATGCTGTTGGTGATAACCAGGAGGATAATACTATTATGTTTGATCAGTCTTTTGGTGCTCAGGAAGATGCTCAAGTGCCCAGCCAGTCTGACAACAGCGGAGGAAACATTTCACAGCTGTCCATGGCGTCCCAGGCAACGCAGGTTGAAACCAGCTTTGACCAGGAGGCTGCTTCTGAGAAGAACAACTTCCCATGTGAGAATCCAGAGGTCAGTCTGAACGAAAAAGAGCACATGAGGGTGGTGGTGAAGTCTGAGCCCCTGAGCTCCCCGGAGCCGCAAGATGAGGTGAGCGATGTCACTTCGCAAGCGGAGGGCAGCGAGTCTGTTGAAGTGGAAGGAGGAGTAGTGAGCGCAGAGAAGATAGAACTGAGTCCCGAGAGCAGCGATCGTAGCTTTTCTGACCCTCAGTCCAGTACTGATAGAGTGGGAGACATCCATATTATGGAGGTGTCAAATAACCTGGAACACAAGTCCACTTTCAGTATCTCAAATTTTTTAAATAAAAGCAGAGGTGGTGGCTTTGGTGCTAGTCAAAACAGCGATGACAACATTCCAAATACCACCAGTGACTGCAGAATGGACAGTGATGCCTCTTACCTGATGAGTCCAGAGTCGGGGCCTGCTGGTGGCCACTCGTCTGCCACCGTGTCTCACGTCGAGAATCCGTTTAGCGAGCCTGCAGACTCTCATTTTGTCAGACCAATGCAGGATGTGATGGGTCTCCCCTGTGTACAGACTTCCGGGTACCGGGCGGCGGAACAGTTTGGCATGGATTTTCCACGGTCGGGCTTGGGCTTGCACTCCCTGTCGAGGGCGATGATGGGCTCGGTAAGAGGTGGAGCTAGCAGCTTTCCTGGCTACCGCCGCATAGCTCCCAAAATGCCTGTTGTGACCTCTGTCAGGAGCTCCCAGCTGCAGGATAACTCGTCCAGTTCCCAGCTGATCATGAATGGGACCACTTCTTTTGAAAACGGGCATCCATCGCAGCCTGGTCCGCCACAGCTGACGAGGGCATCTGCAGATGTCCTTTCGAAATGCAAGAAGGCCTTATCCGAGCACAACGTCTTGGTTGTGGAAGGTGCGCGCAAGTATGCGTGCAAGATCTGCTGCAAGACGTTTTTGACCTTGACAGACTGCAAGAAGCACATCCGCGTGCACACGGGAGAGAAGCCTTACGCCTGCCTAGCGGTCCAGCCAGTCCAGCCACCTCTACAAGCACTCCAAGACCACCTGCCTGAGGTGGCAGAGCAGCAACCTGCCCAGCACTTTGCTTTAACCTTCTCCACCCTGGGCCTGAGGCAGAACGCCGGTGCGGATGTCTGGCTCCCTGAAGCACCGCTGGAACCTGAACGCTGTTTTCTTCAAGGCTGCAGGCTCAGAGGCTGTTCTTGTTGGTCAGAGAACACTTACGTGTGATTGTGCCACACACACAAAAGTTTTGGTTCTGTCAATTGGGGATATTACTGTACCTACCTCACAGGGGTGTTGTGAGGCTTAAGCAGCTGCAAGCGAAGAACTTGGAGATGCTCAGATCCACACGGTAGGTGTGTGGAGCGTTATGATGATGTATGTGCAGGCCTTTGGCCGACGGGGATACAATCCCTAAAGCTAAGCAGTTCCTTTGCAGGGCAGAGGGGAGAGAGCGTGATTATCTCATGAAGTAGCAGTTTCGAGAATGAGAAACTGAAGTGCAAATTTCCTCTTGGTTTTTTTTCCGCTAAAGTATTTTGTAAAAGTGAAAGCGTTTAAATAAATGACCTGTAAAACAAGTTGCTGCATTATGTATGGACAGTAATGCGAGAGCTGTTTACTGTAACTGACACAGACTGCATATCTTTAAAAGAGAGAAAGAACTTTGGATGCACCTGTCTGACATAATGCTTTAAAATACGCTAATTATAAAAGTAGTTCTAGGGTTATGAATGTATGTTTGGCTGTTTTGTGGTAAAGGACACTGTGTAATGAAGGTGCTTAAATTAAATCCGAGACAAGTAACTTTTGGACTGCCAGATGTATTTATACTTTGAATACAGCAAGATCTGGATGTTTGACTGATTTTTTTTCTGTAGAAACTTGTATTAAGTGATAAGTGAAGTACTGTTTCTTGTTCGTGCTATTCTTAGCAGTATTTTAACCAATTTGTATCTCCTATGTTAAAATTCTATATACACGGAAGTCTGAAAAGGGTTTTTGTCTGCTTTGTTACTTTGAAGGAAAGAGATAATTTGTGATGGCTTTTTTTACTGTGTAAGATAGTCTCTTGCGGTTTCCAGATGCTGATAGTCAATCTGATCCCCATTATTGCGTAAGCATATTGTCGTTTTCTGACACTCTTATCTTCAGGCTTTAATTTCCTCCTCTATATACTTACTCACTTTCCTTCGCAACTATGGATTGTTCCTCAGACCAAAGCAGTCAGGAATGATCCACATTTGCAATATTTATTTATGTCTCTCTGTAAAATGTAGTTGTCAAATCCAGTCGTTCCACTTAAAGTAGTGTCATAAATGTACTTTCCACATAAATAAAAAAAAGCATAAATTTAATTTTAAAAATAGCACTGTACACTTTGGGTAGCAGAAATTCAATCTTCATTATTCTCCAAATGAATCATGTAAATTTTGTTTTAATTTCCTCTTCTTAGGTACCATTGTAACTAATACTGTCTGCAGTCTTTTTTCTGTGTTAAAGCTGCACATGAACTAACTACTGGCGTTCAGCATATTAGGTTTCTGAATAAAATTTTGGAGCACTTCTGCTGATAAATGTTTCTCTGCCGTATGGGAGCTGGGTCAGGGCTACAGCGTGTCTGTTCTGCTCAGGAGAGACAGAGGAGTTGCATTTCCTGGTATCTTAAATCAGAGAGCAACAGGGTTCCGTTAATAGAAAAAAAAATTGCAAACCTTCCCTTCTTTATTTTATTCTGTATAGCAAATGTATCCTGTGTGGTGATGTTCAGCAGTTTGATGGGGATTGTGCTACCTAATAGTCGTCCTTCTTAAGCATCTTGGATTTATATTTGGATAAACTGAAAATAAAATCCTAATCCACAGTGCTGTAGGTCATTCAGCAGAATGAACTATCAAAACTGTTGAAGCACAGAAACCAAACAGTCATTGTCAGACCAAAGGAAACATGGAAATCTTCCTGTACTTGGCATTATGTGAAACAGTAGTCCACTAATGAAGAAATGTGTCTTCAACTCTGATTACACTGCTCCACATTGAAAAAAAACACCAAATGTCTGTCAAAGTGTCATTGGCACCTTGGATGTCCAAGGTAAACAGGAACGGGGAAACACAGTGAATGGTTGGATTAATTCCTTTAAAGTGGTAAGATTTTGTTATGGGATTTATATAATGGTCATATTTCTCACTCTTGATTTTATAAGCATTAAGGAAATGTGCTGCATTTTTTAAAAGTATTAGTATAGGCCACATTTTGTTTGATACTAATTTTGATATCGGGGACTAACAGCATTGAGCTATACTAAATAATCTCACTGAAACATCAGTAAAATGCAGTATTTTGTGCTTCAGTATTTTCTTGTGTTGCCTTATTAGTAAAGTTCTGATTGTTTCATCTTCCTTGCATTTCTAGTGTTTTGTTTTAAAAATAGGGGTTTTTTTACATTTTCTGTCTTTCTCCTATAGCACATCTGAATTTGTTGAATTCTTATGATGCATAGGAATAAAGCTTCTATGTCAGTACGGAGATTACATTAATTAAGAACTAATGTGAGCAGATAAACATATCTAACTACTTTTGATTTGTTTTTATAAAAATTCGATGTCATTGTGAAATACCAGGCCTTGTGCAGGACTTCTGTCTTCTTTCATTAAGAAAAAATTCACCCTGGATCATTTTTGGAAGTAGAAACTTCAGATTTCATTGTTCATTGATATCTAGTGCATCTGGAGGAGCACGCTGCAAAGCCGGTGGCTGGTGTGCGGCTTTCCTAGTCTTCCAGTATGAAGCAATATCTCAGAATGGTATCTCCACATAGCTGTCCCCTGCTGTGAAACGAAACCATTTCGTCTCAAAGCCTGGTAACATTGTCAAAGAGCTTATCACCCCAACTTTTGTTCAAAATTTAACTACAGTGAGACCTCATGTGAAGATGTCAATATGTTAGTATTATGAAACATCTGAAAATAAACCCTGCATTTTTGTGCAGCTGTGTCTGGCTTGATTTACTTGTTTATGTTGTCCCAGTGTCTTTGCCAACAGCATGTTATGTATTGACAAAACAAGTAATGTTTGTATGTTAGCGTGTCAGCTGGTTGGGCTCTTCATGTTGCCAGATCACTTGGCGGTGCAAAATAATGCTATTGAAATGTGGGCACACCCAGAGGCATTTTTGTCAAATGAGGCCAAGCACATCGTGCTGCCAGGACAAGGGGCAACGGGCACAAACTGAAGCAGAGAAAGTTCCAGCTGAAGATGAGGAAGAACTTCTTCACTCTGAGGGTGACGGAGCCCTGGCCCAGGCTGCCCAGGGAGGCTGTGGAGTCTCCTTCTCTGGAGATATTCCAGACCCTCCTGGACAAGGTCCTGTGCAGCCTGCTGTAGGTGACCTCACCCACAGGGGCCCCTTCCACCCCCGACCATTCTGTGATTCATTCTGTGGCCGGCCTCCTGCCGAGGCCTCGCTAGCTTTGCGGGGACACGTAATATCTTGTCAAGAAGAAGAGGGTCCATATTTGAGCCAGTGTGAAGTCCTGCAGGGCTGCGAGAGCTGGTCTGAGCGAGCGGAGTGTGGCTGGGCTTCAGCATGGTGTGGCCAGGCCCCGGTGGCTCGGTGCCTCAGTGCGGTGGGCTGCCTGCTGGCCAGCTCTGCTCCGGAGCTGAGGCTGAAGGTGTTTCGTGCTGATCCTCTGCGGTGCCCTGTGGCCGGCTGACCTGCCTGCAGGGATCCTTGCTCCTGCTGCAGCCCTGATGGGAGGGGGTGCATTGCCTGCATCTCCCTCTGCAGACGAAGGCTGCAAAGGCCTGGGATCTTAGGAGCATCCCTGCCTGTGCATGGAAATCATTGATATTTTTTTCAGCTGTATCAGGTCCCTGATGAGTTCACTTTGCAACTGCACAGGTGCTGGCGGGGGACCAAGGGTAAGTGGCTGGTTAATGGCATGATGATTTTTGTTAACGACATCTGCGTGCCCATGGACGACCTTCCAGGTCTGCAGAGCAAGGCAACTAACAAAGGTTAGTTTGGTGCCTTGCTTAATAAAATGTATTAGTGCTGATGAGACTAAACTGCGTGACATGATAGCGTAATTTGTGTCTTGAATAGACATCAGGGTACTTAAACAGATTTTGAAAAGGCCTAAAAGCAGCAGTCTAATGTAAATGCTATATTGCGCTCCCTTAATATTTCTTAATAATGCAGTAAAAGAAGTTCAGTCTGGAGCTTCCTATAAAAAGGAGTTAGTCTGGAGTACTGTAAGATGTAAGTTGGTACAAGCCAGACATCAGTACTACATCTGAGTACCCAGGAGCGTGTGCTTAACTAAGGCTTTGTGTCCATTTATGCTGTGGAATCACTTTTGAAGGCTCGCTGTTCCTGCCAGAGGTAATAGTCTTGGAAAGACTGTGGCAAAGTTTCCTGCTCTGGAAAACTTGCACAGAGGCTGGTCTGTGTGCTCTGTCCGCTGCCAGTTGTCCTTGCCGCTGCAGGCCGCTCGTGTCGGTGTCTTCACCAGGGTACTGTCGTCTCACTAGGTCAGTCCACGAGCATCTCTTGCTCACCATTCAGCCTTGTGAAGCGCTACCAAACCACAGCAAGCGTATCTCTGTTCAGAAAGTCCAAGGGACGGGTCTGTCCCTGGCAATGGTTGTTTAAATCATCAGTAGGTACTCTGAGCGCTGAAGTGCTGCGGCAAATACTCTCACCTCTGCGGCAGTTTCACCACATTTACTGCTGATGTGTTACGTAGTGAGGGCTGGCCCTTGCCAGCCGCTGAGGAGAGCAGACGTGACACTCGGCTCCGCAGCTGCCTGTCCAGAGGGACAGGGTTCCTGCACCTCTTCCCGCTGTGCTCCGGGCTCTCCATCGGCTGCAAGCACCAGGGAGTGAAGCAATTGCTCTGCTGGCGTGAAATGCTGCTTTCCCCCACCGCAGCGCGAGTGCGAGTCTCCTTGTTTGCAACAGCACCATCAGCCAAATGGCCACCAGAACAGGTCACTGGAAAGGCACCTGCAAAGTGGTTATTGTTCTTTATGCCAGCTTGTACAGAAATACTTGTTTTTAGCAAAAACTAATTGTAAAAGCCTGAG